TCAGAGTATTGCTATGAACAATACAGTACACCATACTGTACTTTCTATTTAAAGGAATGATGCCATGGTCTTTGAAAAACCTTTGGGTCTCTTTGTCTTTATCCCTAAATTTGCAAATTACGTCCATGTAAGACCATTGACAACCTTCACACGTCATGCTGAAAATGAAATTGCCGCAGGCCCGGGGAAGAGATGAGACTCCTCTCTTGAGTGCTGCCTCATTACCGCTGGCACGACAAACTAGTGGGCACCTAGGCGCCTAATTATCCATGAAACGGACAATTTCCACAAGAAATTATTATCATCAGAACTCGCTGATGAAAATAATGTAAAAAAATAAACTAATAAAAATAATTTGCTCGCAGGTTAGTCTTAAATATTAACCACTTTCTGAAATGTCTACCTTAAAAAATTGAAACCAAATATTTGTTGAATGTGCTCAGTTATAAAATCATAGTGTTTTTTCAAGGCAGTGGAAATTTTGCCGTGATTGGCTAAGTTCCTACTAATGCTATTTTACCGTGAGTGTGCTCTGATTGCCTAATCGTTCATTACCGGCAAATAAAGCGAGAACTATATTTGACTGTGACTTTGGCAGCATTTGGCATTTATTTCACCGTGAGATGATCGTTGTGTAGCTATAAACATAAATAACTCGTCGTTTAATTTTGTTCATTTGTTCCCACAGATGTTCTTATTATAAAACAGGAGACATTTACTAGAACCTGACCTAACCAAGGAAACCTACCTAACCTTACGTAACTTCCTAGCCAGGGGACAGACCCCCCGTCATATTAAACAGAAAGTACTTGGCCGATCAGAGTGCACTCACAGTAAAATAACGTCAGTAGGAACTTAGCCGGTCATGACAATATATCCACTACCAGTACGTTTTTTCAATTACTCATTACTGAGCCCCAAAGTATTTATAAAAATTATTCAAGATTTTGTAATTTTTTTTAAATGAACAGTGGAAATTTGACCAAGTTTATTTCTTGGGTGTTTACCATTCAAAATGGCTTGTTTCTTGGATTTTCATCAACACAGTATTTTTTTATATCTAGAATGCAATTTTAATAGGGAGCAAGGAAAAACTATTTAGGATATTAGTAATCCTGTATTATACACTGTATTTTCTAATTAGTATGCATCAGTTTTGGTAATGTGGGAACCACTACCACCAGAAGCAGTTGTTAAATTTTGTTTATCTTTTTCATAGTTCTTATCATTATAGCAAGTACAGTATTTAAAAAAAAAGAGGCAACATATACTACGTATATTGATAAGAACATGTGTGGAAAAAATTAATGAAATTGAACAAAAATTTTGGTGGTGGCGCTGGTCTCGGAAGTTTCCTCAGTTTTGAATATTGAAAAATTTATATTGATTTTATACAAGTGCAGTAAGTTGCTAGGTGTCACCTGTGATGTGTTTCACTGTCCAAAGAAGAATGTCATAATTGAGGTATTATTTGATGGGTGCAGGGCAACTAGTACCCAGGCGATTCATATCCAGCAAAACCTGTCAACTTGCACGTAAATATAAACAGAGTACAGTCGCCTTCATGAATCCATATACAATACACAATAAGTTAAAATGTTTGTTCATCAGTACAAAGGGGTATAGCCTAAAATGGTATTAAAATCATGCAGGATCATAAAATATAGTAGATGCAGGTACGGTAGCCATACACCAAAAATCACACTGGATATAGGTACGGCAGGTGTATTGATGGATTGTGTGGTTAGGTTAAGTTTGGCTATGTTAGGTTACATTTGGTTAGGTCAGTCAGAAAAAGGGCCATCAAAGTAACTATCATTGTATAGTAAGCAGCTGCTATCAAACAGGTACTACCGCCTGGGAAGATATTGGAAGCATAATGTGTTGTCAGATGGTAGACCCTGTTGCCATATGGCATCACAAAAATTGTGATATAGTCCCAGGTTGCTGATCTAACTTTCTGCCTCATTTACACACAATTGCGGGGTTTCACTTGTTTCTGTGACAACACAACATAATTACAGTACAGTATATCGTTTCTCACTTTTTTTTATTTGTATTTTTTAAACAAATTATTGTCTTTATTTATTATTATTATTATTATTATTATTATTATTATTATAATAATATTATTTTAATTTTTTATTACAGTATTATATTGTCATCCCCCAGGCCCTTATGTGGGTCATTGAACTGTGCCTTGGTGGGCGAATCCCACCATGCATGCCCATTAGCAAGTCATACCAATAGACTACGATGTTTTGCGTACCGCTATCGTACCTGTATCCTGTGCCATCTTAAAAACTTTTGTTGCGATTTGTTTTTCTTCATATTGGCCCCACAACTTGTAAACTTAGCACTGTCTAACCTCGATTGACTTGTGTCGATTAGCAGGCATGAGCGAATGTACAGACATGAGCCTGAGCTGCAGATTTATGGGTATGGCTTCTTGTGAATAGATGTGGAATAAGGACGTACACCTGAAGATCACCATGATCATGGCATTAAGTTGCCTGTGCTGCCCTTCACAGTCATTATTAGTGCATACTAAGCATCTACAGTATAACTAGACCAGGTCTCCAGAGTCCAAACCGTAGACTTCAACCGAGAAGTAACCACGTACAGTACTCTAGTTGAAAGGGGTGGCTGCTTGGGCCCATAGAATGGAAAGAATAAGCATGGAACACCTGGAAGGGACAAGTGAATGGAATGCCACACTGCTGATTCGAGTCACTCACTATCACATCAACATCTGGAGGGATGACATGAAGACATTGATAACTGTCATAATACATTACTAATTTTGTTGTCAGCTCATTAGGACAAAAGCCAGCGGAACTTGCTTTATGCAGTCTTCTGAATGGAGAAATGCATGCACTGATAGTAATTGATAAAATGGTTGGTGTACAATTAAGCAGGTGTCACTTGCAGGGGAAACTTTTATAGTGTTGCTATATACTGTACAGGTACTGTATGTCACTTACTAATTTGTAAATTCTCTACGGTACTGCTATTTTTAATACAGGTTTCCTTTATTTATCTAGGGTTTGCATTCTCAGAAAAAGTTCGCATATTACTGTACAGGTTTCCATAGTAAAAGGGAGGAACCAGTACATTCGCAGCTACGGCCAAAGCCCCACTTTTAACATTATTTTGTGTACTTTATTACAGTAAATTTTCATGTATACACTTTTGGTAATTTTATTGTTTAATGCATATGGCTTGCTAAATATTATTCATTGAATATAATTACCATTACATTTGGTGCTTTTCTACAAATGAAGGTAGAGATTACTGAAATGACTTCTGATTTTGGTCTTTGATCCACACACCTACTTCTTTTGTTTTCAACACTGGGTGCCTTACTTCTGTCATTTGCATTTCTCCTGATAGCACATATGTTTCATAATTTTCAGTATAGTAATGTAGCATTGACACCTTTGATACCTTGATGGTTCTTTACTTATGGAATATCACTTGAGGAAGTGATTACCAGTGGCAAAAAGATGAAATGAAGCCAAATAGAATAACTCTTTACTTAGCTACAAGTTCTTTTTGCATTCTGGTAAAGATGTTTTCCCATGGTGCATCACGTTTGGTAAAGATGGAAAGCATAATGTACACCCATATACAGTTGCCTGTACAGTACCCTGTATAGTATATGTAATATTCTTTGCTGCATGTACCAAGTCACCTTTGAGGTGAGGAACATTACATGGCAACTGTAGATACGAACCTTACCTTGGTTTAAATGAAATTTAGGCAATTAAATGTAAATAGTCTCCTTATTGCAACTTTCCTTCCTCGAGAGGGTCCAGAAGGATTGAATGTTTTCTGGTGTATTGTAATGGATAGAATTGGGTTAATAGGTTCCTCCCTTTGCATCTCTTCTGCATACCGTATGGTACTTTTTAAATAACTTGCTTCAAGGAAATTACTACTGATAACCTCTTTTTGTCCAAGTAGGATTTGGCATCCTCTCCTCTTCAGCTGTCCTCCAATCTTACTTGGCTTTTTTTTTCCTGACATATGGGTTTTTTCCAGTATTTCGTGAAGTAATAGCACGAGTCAAGTTACAGGTGTACAGTTTCCTAGATTTTGAGGGTCAGTGATTTACCAATTGGCACTGTCATTTAGCTGTTTCTGGACCTTACAAACTATGTCTTGTTGGAGGGGGCTATGGACCTGTCATTCTGGAAGCCACAAGATCTAGCTATAAACTCTTGGTACCTCTCTAGAAGACCCAGACAGTATTGCCAACTGTTCAGGGAGATTTTTGCACCTGTATGTGTGTTCTTCCTTAGGAGGTGTAAGGTATAGTCACACAGCATTAAGGACATTTTATACTGTATACTAGCTCCTCCCATTTATCAAATATACCATTGTTATTCATAAGTCATTCTCAGTAGATTCAAGTTAAAAATGTGGGTTTTGATTCTGAAATTTTGGTAATCAAGTTTGGATAAAATTATGTGGTTTTCACCTTCCTACTTTGGGTGTTTTGTTAGGGTTGGTTGTTATGTTTTGTTGTTCCCAGAACTGCAGTTTCTTTCTTAACTTTTCATGAATGCTTGATTGCTTGACTCCAGTCTAGCTTAGGGTCACTGTTTCCAAGCCTTTGGTCAGCATGTCACAGGTTGTTCTATCGAGGCTTGGTTATAAATCATGATTTCAGGATCACTCACTCATCAACTTTTTATGTAAGTGCAACTAAAAGAGTACACTACAGTAACTGATCAGTCAAATTAGTTTGCATGTACAGTACAACACTTTCCTAGAAATTTTAGCATCTTTGTTGGTCAAATAAACAAGCATATTTTATTTTGTATAATGGCTGAATGCTGTATGTAACTGATAGATGTGAACATTTACTTGTGTACTACGGTAACATTTTATTCTTAAAAGTTATATTTATCTATCCACGTGACTTGCTGGTCTGGTCATTTAAGTGCTAGTGTTTGGCACTTAATAAGAATAACTGTAGTCTTTTGTATTATCAGAATGGGATACGTCAAATCCTGAATGGCGTGCCAGCTGGTAGAGGAAGATGGCTGTCCAACCGGGCTTCTCACCCAACAGATCTTGAGGTTCGACATGCACTGTCACCAAGCATTTATCCCTGCAGTCTTCCTTTTTTGAGAACCCTTATCCTGGCTTTTTAGATATATTTTATTACTGTATTATTATTTCTGTATTATTATCGTCTTTATTATTATTATTTCTGGAAAACCCATAACTATTGGAAGAAGTTTAATGGTGCCTAGTATCAAGGTGATTATTCATAAACTGTACTGGAGTTACCTCGTCATACAGTACTGTACAGTACTGTATTTGTTTTTCACCCAGTAAGTGCTATGTGTCTTCAGAAGACACGTGCTCATCTGTCCAAGGTCTGCCATCTAGTGTATAGATATATTCTTTGCTTTGTTTTCTACAGCCAGCCTGAATGCTAAGAGGATTTTTTTTTTTTTACGAGCACTTGCCAGCAAAGGGGGCAGAAGATACCATGAACTGATTCCTTAGTTTTCCATTGGGAATTAGTGTTCCCCACTCAGTAACACTGATCCCCAGAACCCCAGCTTCCTCAGTGATAAATAGAATGTGTGATGGAAGTGTTGCTGTGGGTATATCACCAAGTGGTTTGATTGAAGTGATATTAGCGGGTCTATTCAGTGAAGGGGGGGGGGAATAAACAGTGATGCTACAAGTACAGTAATTTGAAGCTACTGGGAATACAGTACAGTACTGTAATAGATGAGCAAAGTGGATTTTGCTACATTCATTATTTTACAGACATAGAATCAAGATACTGATGTATGATAATGCACTATGTGTATTTTTTTATGAATTAAGGTGCATGCGAATTGAGTTGGACTAGTATGTCAGTACTGTATACTATAGCTATGCATCCTGTGCACCCCACAGCCAGCAAATCATAATATAATTTAGATTAAAATTATGTATGGATGACTCCTGCTCTTATTAATTATTTTCATAATTCTCATGGAGATTTAATGGTACATACAGTACTGTAGTAGCATTCAACGTGTAATATAATTCAAGATTTTAAACAGCATCATCTTAACGGAAAAGCACATGAAGAAATTATGATCTTGATTCATCTCTAGTTCTTTATTTTGAATGTACCGTATAGCTTTTAATTGTACTGTATATTGTTAACAATGTACAGTGATGCTAGCAATAAACAGGGAGTCCTTGTTTAACAAGTTCCACTCCTGAAAAGTCTTGTGATGTGCGAAATTGTAATACGCAGAACAAATGTTTCCATAAGAAGCAATGTATTAACCCTTGCACAAACTGATTTTGAATTACCTGTCTCTTACCAAACACATTCTTTTAAATAAATTTTTCCCAAGATTTGGTATAAATGAAAGTTAACTCAACCAATTATTCAATTTCAATATTTTTTCCTTGATAGAGAAAGCGGGATCCTAGTGCTGTCACTAGGTACCCCTGTACAATAACACCAAAAGCATCTGGCAAGTGTCACAAGTATATATAAATATTATGAAGTTGCTTACTAAAGCCTAAGGAAGGAAGGAATGATATTCCTTAAACACATCATCAATATTATTTACATAATATCTGGCCAGTATGGGGAGGATCATTGTGTCTCCATCAGGGGATTGTAGAGTGGTGGAAAAGCAGGCGTCACGGAAGCATTGTGTGGGGACATCTTACGAGGTAGTGGATAAGGGTGCTGTGTGGGAACATCTTACGAGGTAGTGGATAAGGGTGCGGCTGTCAGGTCCTCTGCATAATGCACAAGAGCGTTGTTTACGGAGAACATCGTACCATGTGGACTCCCGGCTGCTTCCCGAGCTTCTCGAAAGTTAACTGTTTTGCTTGTAACATGCATCATAATCTATTTATGTACCCAGTACTAAGCAAATAATTGTTCAAAAACAATTGAATTACTATGATACACATATATACAAATTTGTTACTTTATAAAGTAAACAACAAACTGTACCTATGTACATATGAAAATGATTCTTAAATCATGATTATAAAATGGCACTATTCATAATAACAGTCAAACCCTTGAACATTATGCAATGAAATGAATACTGTATACATCATTGAAGTTTTCCCCTCTGTATGCTCTGACAAGCACAGTGTCACTGTTTATGTAATAACTCTCTCTCTTGTTTACTGTCAGTAACTTGTCTGATTTGCGCAACATAATTTTGGGCATTCCATTACGTAATAATTTTTGAAAAGACATTGTTAAAACATTGAGGTGTGAAACTTGTCAGTCAAAGCACAAGTGACGTGAGTTGGGGGAGGGGGGGCTAAAGATAATCCATCTTGCGTACAAATCTGACTTGGAACGTCCTCAGGAACGGAACCCATTCGTAAACCGGGGCCCTACTGTACTGTATGCAGTACAGTAAGATCTTGTATTTTGTGAGTAAAATAAACTGGAAAAATTGCGCCAAATGCAAATACATAAACTAATGGGAAAAATAACAATATAGACTGGCCACTCTACATCAACCTCTGATTTTCCCATTTATAATCTCCAAATTATAAAAATTCTGCCTTTATTGACCTGGTGCTTTCAGGAAACTAGTTTTTAGGCCTTCCTCAAGTAACTTAATCACACGCTGCTTATCCTGCATCGAGTACTTGGCAAACTTAACTCCCTTATGATAGTCCTGCTTCTCCTTTTCCTTATTTGGTCGGTTAGGTGGGTCTGTCCCACCCCCAGTAGGACCCCCAGTTGAGGTAGAGGCCATTATCTTGACTCGACAGGTGGTAGCACCACCCAAAAAAGCACACAATAGCAGCCCGTGTGGTTGCTAGGATGGCGCGGGCTACAACGCGATAGTTGCGTTCTTGTAAACCTCTTTTACGTTCACCACCGGCAATTCACTCACCAGAACGCTTCTTGGAAACATTCTTCTTACCTTGTCTTTCCGTATTTATCGCTAACACAACAAAATTGGAGAAAACGGCGAAAATTGCGGAGTAATTGGCATAAACCGCGCGATTCAACTGATCACTTGATGTAAGCAGAGAGCGCTGGTGTAAACCGTAACTAGTCCTCACTGCAAAACATTCTTGTTACATTCTTTTCATATAGTATTTAAGGGTAACAGCTAAATTTGCAAAAAAAAAAAAAAGAAAAAGAAATTTACAGAGTACCTCTCAAAAAACACTTCACACACAAAAGACATGAATCAATCGAACACGTTGAACATGAACTGTAAACATTGCATAATCCCGCGCCGCGCTTAAAACGTTGAGGATGGAATCGTGCTATAGCCAACATTCGTATGCAAAAGTTCGCGTTTTACAAGCAGCATTTGCCTATTCTTCAATCGCTTTGCAACCAATTCGCGTTGACAAAACACTAGTTGTAGCAGAAATGACTGTAACTGGTATGAGGTGCTGTGACGTCATTCAAGACGGTGGCCAGCATTCAGCTTGCTGGATCTCGCGAAATTCACGATATTTTACACCAGATATAAGACTTGGTTACATTAGGTAGTGCTTGCAAAATTCAAAAACGCGAAATGAAATTGCGCAAAATATGAGATCTTACTGTACAGTATTTGAAAATACAGGTGAGAGGCGGTTCGTTAACTACTGCTACTTTACCATGCTGATTCATATAATAATGTTCACCTCTATAAGGATACACTTTCACTGTTTCTTAATACAGTTGCAGTAGTCCTCTATCTGTTGCCCCATTATTGTCTTTTCTTTAATTAGTTTTTTGGAAATATCTTAATTATTATCCTTATTGGGGTAGCTTTTGATGATTCATTGCGTAATCTCAGTTTGTTGACAATTCAAACAGTTGAGTCATTCAGTTTTATTGTTAAATAATATTCTACTAAGTTCAATTACACTCTATACTTGGGTGTGGGATATCTTCTGCTGAATGACATCATCTGGCATGAGCCAAATAAAACATTAAAAGTGGCCTCTTTGTAATGAAAGGGTTAAAATTGTTTAAATATTTTCTTTAGAATATTTACAAGTTTCATTCCTATGTAAAATGTTAAGAGTATCATCACAAAGCATTAAACAATTCTTTCAAACAACTATGCAGAATCGGAAGTTTTGTCGATTCAAACATAAGCGTGCCGCTATTTCTGCCAAACCTGCTTCACATCTTGTTTGGCTAGCATTTTTATTAAAATACCCTCCATATTGATATTGTGGCCCCTGAGTGTTTAGTAAGTGATAGTGCTGCACCGTGAACCAATGTGGCTAAGCACAACATGATGTCACTGGAGCAAAACCTGAAAATTGTTACATCATCACACATGCTCATAAATTTTTTGTATAAATTACGTTAGTATCTGCAAAAGTCATTTTGATGACTTGCATTTGTTTTTAATATTTTGTATGTTGATGCATTTTGTGAGGAAGTCTGTTGTTGTTGGAACACACCTTCCGACTACATACAGTGTTGTACATACATAAGTCACTGGCATAATCAAACCCACTGTTAGCCATTTCATTGTTTATTGTGGTCCTCAGAAGCATGTCCAGGTATTCATTGTACAAGGCCTGTAGGTACTGTACTTGCATTATACTATACAGGGTAGCTACATGATTTGGGGTGATATCTAAAAAGATAATTGTTTAAATATGTAAACAACTATCACTACTCGACAATAGTCTCTCATATAGGATATTTAACCCTCTGCTACCAGGTTGTGCTGGGACATTCCAACTGCTCACTACTTTACCCCCGGGTTAGGGTGCTACTTGCAGTAACCCCCCCCCCCGCGGGTTTAAATCAAGGAAAAAATGGCAGGAAAATAGGTGGTCGTTTTGGAATGTCACCCGGGGCGCTCTGGTCGGACGTTCTGGGACGTCACCTGGGGCCTAATGGTTAATGACAAAATATTCGTCATATTTTGTCCAGCCGTTCTTTGTCTAATGAAAATTTTGTCGTCCCCCGAGCTATATGTTATGAATATTTCCAGGCGTTCTCGTGAAATTTTTTGTCACTGCTAGTTTCAGAGCTTTGCTGGTAGATCGCGGTAAACTCATTTTCATCTGCCTGCCACCCAGCAACCTCATTGTTAAGTCTGCCGTGTGGTCTCACTTGAGACACATTCTTTACTCGCTTGCATGCTTATCTCCGCCCTTAATTTTTTTACATTCTGAGTTGTTTGTATACTATTGTTGCACTATTATGATTGTGTGCATTGTACTTTGGCCACTGCAATGGTCAGAAAAGGGAAGTATGTATGCTACTGTACTTTTCAACTAGTAATTTCCTTGAGATGTAAGTTAAAGGGGCCCTAAAGGCAGAGAGAAGTCCTGGGGTATAAAGTAAGAGGGAATAATTTAAATGTTTTGAAAATAATCTCTCCTTTGACAGTTAAAACGGTGCAGTGAAGTACAATTTGATTTTGTTGAGTGTTTATTTATTGTAAGTTGCCATGTTTTCTGGTACTCTGATGAATGTGAATAAATAACCCTTTTCAATACTATTTTGACTATCATAAAAGTGAAATATGATCCATTTGTCGATGATAATTTCTTTAGTTTTGTAATGATATTTTCTTGCTCTTGAGGGTTTAACAAACTCATTTGTGATTTTGTAACTATACACACTTGTGTTTGTACACTTGTTGTCACTTAGATTTAGTGAGGTTGGTTAGTGTGTTGTGCTGCGAGAGACTTGTCTTCCTCAGCATGGAACACATGGTTTTTGGCAAAATCAATAATTATTTGAAAGGGCCTCTCAAATGATATATTCCATCATGTCATTCCTACTGCTGCAAAATTGTACAATAATTCAAATGAATAAGGTAAGTACCTTCAGCCCATTCAAAGTAAAAAGTTATTTAACTCTACATTTGGGGTGCTTTTGGTGTTCCAGTGAAATGAAATAAACCATCTCATAACTGTCAAATTTCAACAGGAACATTCCAAAGTTCAGCAGTGCTGGGTGGTTTCGTTCTGTTAAAATCAAATATTTCCATGGCAGCTTTTTCCAGTCATTGAAACGTGTACAAGGTGTACCAACATATTTTACCCTATTCTGAAATTCATTGTGGATTTTAAAAATGTCTTACTATTTATTTTTTGAACACACGTGCATATACCTCTTTTATGTAGAATCACAGTTACTGATTGCAGTCTGCAGTGTCTGATGCCCAACTGTGCTGTTGTGTGTAATTCACATGTTTGCTCAGGTTAATGGAAGTCATTGTGGCAAGTTTCTTAAACTCAGTTGTTGCCTATGTCTGTGGTGATCGTTTTGTGGAATGTGGATTTTATTATTTACAAACAATAGACACAGGTACCTAGAGAACAACACCCACATCTGCAATCAGTGATAGCTTCTGAAACATTGGTGCTGGCTGCAGCATGTTAAAGTTACAGTATTAAGAGGAAACCATTTTATTTCCAAATATAACCCAGTAATATAGACCTGTCTTCCAATGTGGTATATGTAGGTTCAGTATGTGTACAGTAGCTACACTATGTGGATTCGCATACATGCAAGGACCCCGATTCTACTAGCCCTGTGGTGTGTGTGTGTGTGAGAAAAGTTCACCCTTATCTGACATGTCCTTAATGTTTCATTTCTGGAGATGCTTTAGTACTGAATGTTTCTTTAAACAAGTTTTTAGAAGTTTTATGAATTAATATCAAATGAAAACAGTGGATCAGCTCATGAAAACAGTTTTCTCTTCCCTCAGTAGATGGCAGCACAGGTTTTTTGTGAACATAATTTTCACATATGGTACATTGAGACTCATGTTTACATGTGAATACTGTAACAGTATACCGTGTGCAGTGTACTTGTAATATTCTAATTCTGTATTGTATTGAATTACTGTATTCGGCAGTAAGGTATCTGTCGACTGAAAAGTTGGGACCAAGAGGCCTCTGTAAAATTGATAATTACATAAAGTGGACACTTTCATGAACATGTATCCAAGGAAAGCCTGTAGTAATTGATAGTACAGTACTTTTGTCATTTTGGTTATATTATTAGTTTTTGCAAATACCTGTACACTTACACATTTCTCCTACAGTTACCATGCAACTTAACTCCCTGTGAAGACAATTGGACAATTCACACTCACACCACCACAAGGCACACAGCCACTGTGACAGTTGCCTGATTCTCCAATTATATACAAGAAAATTGTTCTATATTCTTAATTCTCATATACCTGTACTGTACTGTATAAATACTTGTATCTTCTGTAAAATAGATTTTTCGTTAGCAGATATTTTGTTTTATACAGGGTGTCTCAAAAGTCCCCATACTCAAAGTTTGGCCACTTACAGTAGTTTAATGGTTAACGATAGCCATCCATGGTTTCACACGGCACATGCTGGCAACATCTCAGGCTGAGTTATGTGCCGGTCATGTGACTTCCTGCATGACCAGGTAGAGGGACGTAAGTGAGAGTCAGTCAACAAAGAGTCTTAAGCGGGCATAGAGGGTCGCGCTGTTGGAGGCATACTTTGAATGCAAATCCTATCAACTCTGTGTTGAAATCTTTAGAAGGAGATTCCCCAACACCGTGTAAGGCTACTGTTTATGAACTGGTGAAACGTTTTCGTGACACAGGAAGTGCGAAGGACGGGACCAAGAACTGGGCGGTGGTCAGTAGTGACACCAGAGTTTGTTGCAATCTTCCTGTAACACACACACACGAAAATTGTTCTATATTCTTAATTTTCATATACTGTACTGTATAAATACTTGTATCTTTTGTAAAATAGATTTTTCGTTAGCAGATACTTCATTAACTGAATCCATTGTTTCAATGGGATATTGGGTAATTGGTTCCAGCTCACCGAAAAGTACATACAAAGTAAAACAAAAATGTAGTAAAGTATACTTACTTTGAGGTGTGTATGTGGAAGGCTCCTGGTTGATAATGATGATGGGAATTAGGAGAAGGGAGAAGAGAAGGAAGTGGGGGTGGAGGAGAAATCACCTTATGCTTGATGCTGTCATTTCACCAATAAAATTTTAAGTTCACTAGGTGTAATTCAAGAATATTTTCTTTAAATCAACACTGCACTGCACTATACATTGTCAATATGTTAAATAAATTTCAAAATGACCAATAATTGTATTATAAAAACGTAAAACTACTCTGTTCAAGAGACCCACAAGCAAGATGTTTCCTCCACTGAACAGAGAGACAAACTGACTCCTTGGTGGGTGAGTGAAGTGGCTGATGGGCGCACCAAAAACTGGTTCCCTGTACTGCAATTATGTTAAATAAGTGTTAAAACGACTAATAATTTTAATATAAAACTTGGAAAAATATTGAATAACACAACCTTCTTGATATTTACTCCAATGGAAACGAATATAAGCCCTAGAACTGATTACTGTATTGGCGGACTAATCTTCCAGCCGGTGAGCAAGCCAAAACATGTTGACATGTTTTCGTAAGAATTTCGTTAACCGAATTTTTGTTTTGGAGCTGTTCATGTTGAAAGACCAGACATACTGCACCCAAACTTGTAATTCATTCTTTCTAGGTCAAGCTATCATATCTAAAATTCCATTTGCAGCTGACATAAAGATAGCATGTGTTTTAGACAGTTTCTCACCTATTAACATAATTATTAAAAAATCTAAAAGATGCCCCTCCCCCTCTGTGGCAACTAAGAAATACTGTGTTAGCAAGGACTAGTACGGTTGTAGATCCTATTAGTCAAATAAAAATATTTAGTCTTGTTTAACAATGTGTAAGGCTATCATCCGCCCTCCTCCCTTTCCCCTATGACTTGACATGTCTGGGGTGGGTAGCCTCAATCCCATGCCTGTGAATCGTACTTACATGCCTATACTGTACCTCACTGCCCCCACCCCCTGCATGTGCGTGCACACACACACACTTTATTTTTAATCCGAGAGGGAAAGATGTGGAAAAGATTAGATGCGTGAGAATAATGAGTGGAAAATAGAAAAGCCCACTTAATACAACCTGCCAGCTCTTTGGATTACCATCCATATGCACTGCACTACCTTCAATCTTCTACCACTGTCACTGCAGACATTATGTGGTGTTCATTCAAGTTTCTGACTGTAAGATGTACTGTAATATTTTTTTGATAGGTAAGTTTGGATCATTAATTGTGACTTGGGACCAAAATTTTTCCTGTAGGAATGTAACTTCGCTTATCGGTATAGTATATGGTGGTCGTTGTCTACGGTTAAATAGACTTGTTTGAGTTTTACAGGAGTGGATGTGTGTTGTGATATGGGTGAGTCAGTTTTTAAATGCTGTTTAGTGGCTTAAATGGAAAATACAGTACCAAGAGGGCACTGCTAAAGAAATTAAAAGTGTCATAGACCTTCAAGGTATTTTTTTGTGAACTACATAATTATAGTAAAAGATATCCCCAACTATACCTCAGAGTAACAAAGAATTACCCATATACTATACTGTACTGTACTGTATAAGAAATACCAGTTATAAATTTCACACTTGGTTCCATTTGAAGTTACTGTATATTCTGGGGTTATTTCCTCCAATTCTCATTAGATTATCAAGGTGATACAATGTATCCCAGATGTACTGGACTCCTTAACTTGAAACCACACACTGATACACTACAGTAATGGCATTAGCCAATTCTCTTGCATATTTTGATGGCATTTGTACCTGTACAGGATTAACACTTAGTACAAGGCCTTTCTCTTGCTTGTGTCTTACACTTTCTCAAACTGCGAATAAACACTTTTTTTTACCTGCCTTAGCTTAAGTGCAAAAACTGTGCAAGCATTTTGATAGACTTCATATTTTTATGAAACCAATCTGTGCATCTTTCATATGTGGTTTTGTAACGCTTTTCTCTCAGTCAATCAGTATTCTTGCTTTACACTTGGAAATAAATTCTAACATGTAAATCTTGTGAAATTTACACTATTGCAGTACAATATATGTATTATGTGCATAGCTTGCCTGAGTGCTGTTATATCTAGTTCCAGACTATGGGTCCCCATCGTCAGGCAACACCACACTCACAACCTGGGCAGCAGTTTCATCCTACCCAGATGGCACAGCCTCACCCACAGGGACCCTACCAGACAATACAATACCACCAACCTCAGGGAGGTAAGCACGAGGCTCCTTCCACCCTCCAGTACCGGCAGCCTCAGGGAGGTAAGCATCGTGTGATGTATTTCATAATTTAGGAGTTTTCCTTATACAGTACAGTATGTATTGTTGTATTAAGGCTCATTAAGACATATTAGGATTGCTTTTAACTTTCAGTAAGGAATAAACATAACATGAGGGCATATCATGTCCCATGCCTTCCTCATAGAATATTATTATTATAATAATCTTTTCCGTTGTGAAGGAATGTTTTTCATATTAGAAATTTTTTTCTATAACTGGTAAATTATTAGTTATTGATCAAGCTAATTTTATAGTTGTTTAAAAAATAGTATTACTGCTTAAAGAGTTAAAGATACCTTAAGAGATGCTGTCCTTTCCTTGCTATCTCTTTTCTCTCTCCTCATTTATGTACAGGTACAGTATATACAGTGGTCCCTCGGTTAACGAACACAATTCGTTCCAGAGGGTCGTTCGTTAACCGAATCCATTGTTTCAATGGGATATTGGGTAATTGGTTCCAGCTCACCGAAAAGTACATTACAAAGTAAAAAAAAATGCAACAAAGTACACTTACTTTTGAGGTGTGTATGTAGAAGGTTCCTGGTTGATGATGATGATGGGAATTAGAAGTGTGGGTGGAGGAGAAGGAAGTGGGGATGGAGGAGAAATCACCATTCAGGGGACCCTTGCTTGATGCCGTCATTTCACCAATAAAATTTTAAGTTCACTAGGTGTAATTCAAGATTATTTTATTTAAATCAACACTGCACTGCGTTATATGTTAACTAAATTTCAGAATGACCAATAATTTCAATGTAAAAAATTCAAGACACCAACAAAATAGATGTTCACTCCACTGTCAACAAAGCCCAACTGACGCCTGGTGGCTGAGTCAAGTGTCTAATGGGCGCACAAAAAACTAGTTCCCTGCATAGTACTGCATATATTATCAATATGTTAAATAAATGTTAAAAGACTAATAATTTTAATATGAAAAATGCAATAATATTAAAAAGCACAACTTTCTTGATATTTACTCCACTGGAAACGAATGTAAACATAGAACAGATTACTGAATCAGCATGCTCGATTATTCATGAGCTGGCGTGAGAGAGAATACAGAAGTTAACAGAATGGTAAATCTGTTTCTCCTCTCCTTGATTTTTTCTTTTCTCTTGTATTTGCAGGGTAGTATTTCTTTTTCTTCATTCTTAAAAATATTTTAAATAAGAAAGTACAGTATATGCAACAACTTATACAAGTAGCTTGTGAGTAAACAGGATCAAGTCCAGACTTGCTCATGGCCTGCTTTGGGTATAGGACAAATTATTACTTGATCTTCAATTAGGTGTTTTCTTGCTTTCAATTAGCTATTACTATTTTGTAAAGAATTTATAGAGAATATCGTTTAGAGTATTTTCAAGAGAGTTAATGTTTAAATATGGTTTGAAAGTTGTAATTAGAGTACTGTACAGTATAAAGCACTGTTCAGGTACGTGCAAGATTTTTTGTGATAAAATTTGTTGACTCCCAGTAAATGTGCTGTGATTGGAAAGAAAATCCTATAGAAATCCCATTACCATATTGTGAATTTTCTTGGTGTTATCCGTCATGGACAAAATTTCTCGTTACAGTGATTAAATGTAATAATCATAAAAATTTTATTGTAATAATTTGACACAAATATGGGAATTTTGAGGACTTCCTGTGTGTAATGGTAATGATAACAATAGTAAATATTATTATTATTATTAGTCCTTCGGTAGCAATTAGTTGAAAATGTCCATACGATATAAGTGGTAAATATATATAAAGGCATGGGGGAGAGAGTCAAGGAATTTCAGGACAGTTACTTTACAGAAGTGAGTGAACACAAGTTATCTACGAGTTGTTGATTTTTATGATGGTTGGAATGGGGTTAGTAAGCAGTACGTGGTCGTATGGGATGGATGCGGTTGTGGTATCGAACAGCAATTGTGTGTATGTTTGTGTGTTGTCTGGGGTATTACTGCATCACAATTACAAGTGTAAGAAGTGTTACTGTTGCAATTTTACACAGAGTTTAGGTACTGGTGCCACAGTGAATATTGCCCTTTCAACCAAGACCTTAAAAAAGTGAGTGACAAAATGTTGTTGGCAGACTAATTTAACCAGAGTACAGTAAAGGCTCCAAACCAAATTAGGCAGACTGGGTATGCATATTAATTAAACCATGGCACCCCCTTGTACTTTATTGGAACCATGTCAACCCTGTCCCATGATTATGTACCCTGCAGTTCATTTGTTCATGTTACCACATTTAAGTAGGAAAAGTGTGCATTCTCATGTGTAAATGGTGATAATGCTCCATGAAGATAGCAGAACTGTTGTACAAGTTAACAGTAACCTATCCCATAAGTAATAGAAATGTATTGTCGATTATAACTTCCCTAATGTTGCTGTTAAATTGAGAAAGATTTGATGTTACTATTACACTATAGCCAAAACCCCATGTCCGGTGTTGATATACAGTGTTTGAATATCGTCATGTGTTTGTGTGCAGTTGTGATATGTTTGTACATGTGTATGGCTAATACATCCAGAACTGTTACTATTACATTTACTTTATGCTTTGTGTTGAAATACAAGTGTCAGTCCGTATTTTCATGTATTTGTGGAAATGTCGTGTATTCTTATGCATTTATTTATGTATCAGTGTAGTACAAAAAATCAATTGAAATAAGTAAGGAAATTTGGTGCTAACTAAATTTATTTTTCTCTCTTCCCTTACAGTATTTTACCCACCAGCTACTCAACAACCACCATTAAAACCAGCTGTAGTTCAAGCTCCACAGAGAGAGAGAAAAACACTAGCTATTGTAGATCCAAGTACTGGCAAAAATATCTTAGATGACATGAATAATGAAAAGCCAGACAAGACTCCAACTCCACCCCAGTCATCAGAATCTAGTGCCAGCAACACACCGGCACCAGTAAGTAGGGATTTTTATTTAATATTAAAGAAGGGCTTTTGTGTTTTCCATCTAATTGTACAAAAAATATACGCATTTTGCTGGTAGCCATATATTTTTATTTTCTTGTTTATATAAGCTTTTGTGGTTAAAATGGAAAAAGAATTGCATAATTTAAACCATATTTTTCTCAGATGAGGTGCGTTGTTCCTGTTAAAGGAAAATAGGGGTCTGCGTGAAATCCTTTGAAACGATTATGAAGGCGACAAGATTCCAGAAACTGAAAGTTCTTAGATTCTTGGAAATGTGTATAAAGCTACAGTACAGTACTTTGGGAGACAATTTTAGGCCTGAAATGATTGGTTGGTAGGGATACCAAGTGTCTTTTCCAAGCAATGCTGGATTATACTAAACTGTACCACATACTGTACTCTGTAAATAAGTCCGTTTTAATTGTTGATATTTATATAGCATGATTTTACTAAAAGTATGCATTACAGTCTATCTGCAGCCATTATTATTTCTTAAGTATAGTCAAGTTTCCAAATACTAGTGAACATAATACAGTACTGTCCAGTCAAACTATGTCTAACATCCTCGTACAACGTGAAATCAACTGTGCGTGTCTGAAAAAATTGTGGCAGAACTTACAGGTATTCCTCGCAGTGCATTTTTTTTTTTTTTTTCAGGGATTAGCTCACCCGGGTACAGGTCACTAACCCACATCGGGTCCTGAGGGGCAAAAATATAATAATGATAATAATAAAGACCCATAAAGAAATACAAAAATGAAAAAAGATCAGAAGTGAGAAACAATATATGTATATTGTGTTGTCATAGAAAGAAACAATTGAGACCCTGCAATTGTGTGTAAATGAGGCAGAAAGTCAGATCATAACATAACAAAGGGAAAAATAGGGTTTGGTTCCCAACAACAATAAAACTCCAATATTATACCTAAAACTATTATATTTTATTTATTTATTTTTCACAAACTATAAAAACCCTGCCTAGAAATAATGAAATGAGCTGTGGCATTCCTGCATTTCTTGGCGTCAGAATTTCAAGCTTGTTTTCAATTATCATAGATAAGTTGTTTCTGAAATTATACCTCTTGTTACTATAATGGTTGGATAAATTATTGGAAGACCATGAAACCTATAAAAAGTCAGGTGTGGGAAGTAAAACTGTTGGTTTTAAATTCCTCTGTGGTTTAGCACCCCTGTAGGGTTATCATCTTACAACCAGTTTTGTAGAATAAGCAAGAGGCATGAAATGAGTCGGATGTGCTGGATAGCACACCAGAGCCACTCAAGACTCCACTTTACTGGAGCCAGTGTCTACATTCACAGTGCTTACTCTCTGCTGTTTTTGTATATATATAATTGTATCCTCGTGTGTGCCCAGTGTGAGTCAATGCATAGTACAGTACATGTAATAGATTGAGAAATGTAACAGAACTATTTAATGCTAAGGTTGCCCATAGGGCTCTCAGATCTGAAAGCTCTGTCAGTTAGGTGTATTGTGATGGTGGCAAAAGATGAGGTTTGGTATTATTGCTCTGGGAGTTAAGTCACTAATTGTGGTCTGTAGGGGTAGCTTAATGGTAGTGGTGCAGATGGATGGTAGTTTTGATGGGACATGTAAATGAAAAAAAATTTTTGATGGTGGTGGTTCAGGTGGCTGTAGGTACATATGGTTGGTAGTGCAGATGGTTGTGAACGAGACTGCATGATCAGCTACAGTGAATGAGTACAAAACAAGTGACTGATAGGATTCATATCACCAAGCAGCATCTCTTCAAACAACCAATTCTGATATTTTGTGCTCTTGTCATTTTCGAGTGACTGATGATCAGTTACCATGGTTCATTGTGAGTATCCATGATAGGTCTGTTTATATAATCCCTGAAGATCAATTACCAATATTAAAAAAAAATCTTGCAAGGTAAATACGGGTACCTGTATACTTTACTGTACATAGATGTTTGACAAGGTTGTGTTTCTGATAACCCACTTGTAAATCAAATTGTGTTACAGTTGATTTCTCTTGTGAATTAGAATATACGTTCCTATGATAAAAAAAACTTCTCCACGTTGAAATAAAATGACATATTGCAACAAATACAAATATTTACATGCAGTATACATAAGTAATAATTTAATGAGGATAACATTTGTAATTTGTTTAACCTTTAAAGGGCAGCCATCATAAGTGGAAGTTAGTTGTAGCGACAGCGATAGCCACTGGTTAAGGGTTAATAGTTGCTAGGGTCAACAGAGATTGTCCCAAGACTCGACCAGTTGCTGTTCTCTTTTTGTTGGTCTCAATGTGATTGCTCTGTGGGATCTCTTACCATTTGGGATATTGTTGTTCATTTAACTTGCTTGCCACTTTCCTGAAAGGGTAAATTGCCTGAAAAATAGAAGAAACTGCTGAAGAGTTCTGTTGATTGATTGATTTTATTTGTGTTTTTTATTATACAGTATATATATATATATATATATATATATATATATATATATATATATATATATATATATATATATATATATATATATATATATATATATATATATATATATATATATATATATATATACAGTGGGGTATGCTATAACGAACGGATCCTACTACGAATATTCCTATAACGAACGGTTTTACCTATAAAATTGAGAATGCTATAACGAACGAAACTCCTACAACGAACATTATTTAAAATTTTTATTTATTTTTTAATAATTTATTGTTTTTTATTACAAGTATTAATGATATTCTTTATTTCAGGGGTTTAGATGCATATTTATGCACTTTTTTACAATTTTTACAATTTTATATTTTTTCAGTGTTAAGTGGTTGTATTTGGGGGCCTGGAACGGATTAATCCTATAACGAACGAATGCTATAACGAACAAGGTTCTAGAACCAATTAGATTCGTTATAGCATACCCCACTGTGTGTGTATATATATATATATATATATATATATATATATATATATATATATATATATATATATATATATATATATATATATATATATATATCTATCTTGATAAAATCACACGGGAAAATGGAAACAACGGAGTACCTTAGCTTTCGTCTTTATTCAAGACATCTTCAGAGGCAACTGGATTACATGGACAGAGAGAGGCTTAAATATACAGGGTGACCTAAAAACATGAGGTCAGGTCATAATGATGACATCCACTAATCCCCACACCAACACACACGTAGAGGAGCTTAAGAGAAGGGTGGTGACGTGACTAGCCAGGGCAGGTCAGAAAAAAGGGACCCACAAAATAACTATCATACATCTAGATTAAAGGTTTTCAAAGCATTTTTAACCTTGGGCCACTGACAAATAAATTTATGGAACATATCAGTTTTGAACTGACCATCACTAAGGTTTATTGATTTTAATTCCTTAATCAAACTAGCTTCAACCAGAAGTCTTTCTGTGACACAAGATGATTTGAATACTTCTAAGCTTTTTTCCCAAGCAATGGGGTGATTATTATTCCTAACATGAACGAACAAGGCACTGCTTTCAGATGCAGTTCTGATATTACACTAAATGACACCCTCTATTAACTAAAACCACTTTAAGAGCAACACATACACTAAAAAGATGGTGTTATGAGAAACATGTTCCCTTGAAATAATAATTCTGCTCCCTTACTAACACTTCATGAGGATTATATCACTCATTACATTTTAGTTCTCATTTATTCTGGGTTTATCAAAGAAAATTTTATTTTTTATTTTGTGAGTTACACAGTACAGTACACACAGCTACTTTACTACTGTATACTTATTGTGTTGTGCATGCTCCACAAAGCTGAAATAGAGAAATTAACTTTAAACACGTGGCTGTCACCATTTCTAAGAGAAAAAGAAGTCTTGGAGAAACCTGAAAAAAGGTGCAAGACAGTGTTGGTGGATTATGTATTACAGACTGTATCATGTATCACTATCTTTTAACACCTTCCCTTGCTCTAACATTCACTCATTCACTCTTCCTCTCCTCCCCTGCCTCCCTTCCCCTGCTTCCCATTCCCCTTCCCCTCCCTTCCCCTCGCCTCCCCTGCTTCCCTTCCCCTCGCCTCCTCTCCTCCCTCCCTCCCAATAGTACCTGTGTTATGTTTTTGGGGGAAAATGCCTGATTGAAAGAATCTTTGAATAATTATTCCAGATTTTAAGATGTGTGGGTTATTAATTTTTACTATAATATGCTGTTTCCTTTGTGTGTATTATTTATGTATAGTATTTATTTTTATAAATTATTTTTTAATTTAATCTCGTGTATCATATTTATTCCAGAGTGGAACACCACCAACCAAGACAGAATCTGCAGTTATAGCTGCTCAATTTGCAGCTGAAGTAGCGAAAAAAGCTGCAGAAAAGGACGACATGGATATAGAAACGGAGCATGTAGTTAGGACTAATAAACCAAGTGACAATAGCTCTAGTATTGTAATAATTAGTGATAGTAGAGAAAATAAAGAAAAATTAAACAATAGCATAGGAAATAAGGTAGAGTCAGTGAGTAGCAACATAGTGGACAGTGGTATTGGAAAGACAGTTCCTGAATCAGTGGAGGTTATTAAGCCTCAGCCTAAGCAGCAGCAACAACAACAGGATTCACAACAGATGCCATTGCAACAGTTTCCTCATCAGGTGCCACCACTACAACAGCAGCATTTGTCTCAGCAGTTACCACAGCAGTCTCTGCAACAGCAACCACTACAACAGCTACAGCAACAACCAATACAGCAACCACTACAACAGCTACAGCAACAACCAATACAACAGCTACAGCAACAACCAATACAGCAACCACTACAACAGCTACAGCAACAACCAATACAGCAACCACTACAACCAATACAGCAACAACCACCAATACAGCAACCACTACAACCAATACAGCAACCACTACAACCAATACAGCAACCACTACAGCAACCACTACAACAGCTACAGCAACAACCAATACAGCAACCACTACAACAGCTACAGCAACAACCAATACAGCAACCACTACAACAGCTACAGCAACAACCAATGCAGCAACAACCAATGCAGCAGCAACCAATACAGCAACAGCAGGCAGTGCAAACATCTATGCAGCAATTGCCACAACAGTCACTGCATCAGTTGCCACCACAGCAACCTTCACCGCAACCACTGCAGCAGGTATCACAACCACCATCACAGCAGCCACTGCAGCAGTTACCACAACCTGCACCACAGCAGGCACCACAACAGTTAACACAACCACCCCCACAAAAACAAAAACCACCAGCTTCCCAGCAGCCTCAGCAGCCAGTTCAACAACCACCACAGCCACCAGTACAGCAACAGCCTCAACAACCACCACCACCACCACCATCATGCCAACTGCCGCACCAGCCAGCAGAATCTGTCTCTCCTCAGCCACAGCCACAGCCACAGCAGCAGGCTCAGACTCCGCAAACACAGAAACATCCAGATTCTTTACAAAAGACAGAGGCTTTGGGAAAGCCTTTGGCAACAGCCCAAACTGAGGCTAGAGAGACTCAGCCTCCAGTGAAAGCTGAACCACAGCCACCTGTTAAGCAGCCTAGCCCAAAACCAGCTGTTGTACCCACACCTTCACCAAAGGAGAAAGAAGTTAATCCAGAACCACAGTCTGCACAGAGTAAGTACTGCTGAGAGTTTTAATTATTTAATAGTTATAGCTTATATAGTATATACACACAATGGACCCTCCATTAATTAGCTGTTCAATTTACGAGATTTCAGTTAATGAGTTACTTCCCGTAAGGACTTTCAGTTCTATTATGAGAAACACGTTTTGGTGCGTGTATCAGATGATCGAGTCGTCCGCCAATAGTTGGTTCTATGTTTACCTTTGTTTCCAGTGGAGTAAACACCGAGAAAGTTGTGCTCTTGAATATTTTTTGATTTTTACATTAAAATTATTGGTCATTCTCAAATTTAGTTAACATATTGATAATATAGTGGCTTGTTGGTTTAAAAAAAAAAAAAAATGGAATCGGTTAAACAAATTGTTGTGAAATTATCAAGCATGGGTCCGAAGAAATCTCAGAGGCGATTTCATTTCAAGTGAGACAAGAAATTAATAAGAAATGCAAAGAAGGCATTAGAACCAATGCACATTGTAAAGAATATGGCAAGTCATCGACTGTGTCTACAATCAGCTGTTTGTGCTGCCGTCATGTAAACAAAGCCTCCGGGAATTCTAATTCACACCTCAAATTAAGTGTTAATATATTTTATTGTTTTTTTATATATTATTGTGCAGTATACTGCACAATACGGTATTTTGTTTATATTTAATGTTTTGTTAATTCTATTACCAGTAAACAGTACAGGGGCCCCACAAATTAGCTGATTTTTAGTTCGTGGTCCTCTATTATTCACGGATGACACCCTGGATGTACCCAAGAAATATATATATATATATATATATATATATATATATATATATATATATATATATATATATATATATATATATATATATATATATATATATATATATATATATATATATATATATATATATATTAGCCCAATAAAGCACGCGGACTTCTACACACAATCAACACCTCAACCCGCCAGGATTCGAACCCACGGCCCACGAGCCCATGACTGTGACCGGGAAACGCTAACCGCTGGACCACCAGGATACTAAAAGCAGTCCTAGACTTTGTTATATTTCACACAAAGCCTGTTCAACGAGCTTATGGCGCCGTGAACCTCTAATGGGGACTACCCGTATCACGTAGATGGTCAGAGTAACGTTTTACCAAATCCGGCTTCGAAACACGAGGATCCATATATACTGTATTTCATTTGCCCAATTAAGCACACGGACTTCTACATACAATCAACACCTCAGCCCGCCAGGATTCGAACCCATGGCCCACGAGCCTATGACTGTGACCGGGAAACGCTATATACAGTATATATTACTTCATCTTCATTAAATCCTCTGAAACTGTTCACATATCTTTTCAGGACCTTCTTCCATATCACATTCATGCACTGACCTGTAACCTCATCCCATGCTGCAGCTATGTTCTTTATACATGTCAAAATGTTGTAGTCCTTCCAAAACTCTGAGCGTTTTCTCACCCTCAGTAGCAGCAACAGCCTGAACGAAGGTCGTACGTAAATAATTCGCTTTAAAAGCAGCAATAGCACCTTGATCCATGGGTTGGATAATAGAGGTAGTGTTAGGTGGAATGTAGACTACCTTAACATCAGGGTGCAGGTTGTCCAGGTGTGGTGGGTGTCGCGGAGCATTATCCAAAATTATAAAAACCTTGAATGCAATCCCATGTTGCAGACAACTCCTTGGCTCGTGGAATGAAACAAGTCAGGAACCAATCCTCAAACAGTACTAGGGTCATCCATGCTTTCTTGTTACTGCGATAAAGCACTGGCAGTGTGTGCTTGCTGACATGTTTAAAAGCCCTTGGTAGTCTTCAATAATTTTAAATTATACACATGACTAAAAATGGTTGAGGTGGATTATAGCACTTATTATCGTAAATTAAGTGTAGAAACAGCCACTGTGACGAGCACCACCCAGTGTCAACTGAACCTCGCATTTCTTATCAAAGCTAATGAATGAAGGGATGGTTATGTTAAGTTGAGGGTGCCCTGTTATTTTATAATGGGATTTGCATATGTTATTTATTTTTAATGCATGTGATATTAAAAAGGCATCATTTAAAACTAACTTCTTGGGCCTAATCTAATTTTGGATATATTTTCTAGAATTGACCTCTTAGTGTAATGCCCTACAAAATATCTATTGAAAATTAAAGTAATATGTTAATAGAGGTATCCCTCTGCCTACAATAAGGTTGCATTCCTGAAAACCCTTACCGTCGAACAATTTTAAATTTATTACTAATATAAACAGGGAGGTATACAGTAGGTATGTCAGAAAAAAACGAACATACTTTTCCATCATATAATAAGATAACGCTTTGCAACACAACTTGTATACTTACATGCATAATAATTTATTGTACTGTACAGGTACAGTATACAAAGGCAGTAAGTTGATGAAAAAGAAAGTTATGCTGTACAGTACTGTAATTTGTTGAATACAGTAGTTGCCACAGTGTATTACTGATGGCCGTTGTTTTTACATCAGCCTCAGTATGCCTTATAAGAAATTGCAGGAGGGTTCTGTAGAAATATGAAATGGGATTCATAAAGATTCCATTGGCTTGGAAACAATGTCATTACAAATATGCACTTAGCCAGTCAGGCTGATGGGAACACATTATGTACCAGTATCTTTAATTTTCCTTAGATGTAATGGTAAAAAAAAACACCCACCAACTCACACACAAACACAATGAAATCTAACCTATCAGTCAATCAATATATTCCAATTAAAAAAAATCATGAATAGAAAAAAGTATATTACAAAACTGTACAGTATTTTTCAATAGAATAATTTTAAAAAGAAGGTACTGTACTGTACTGTACACTGATACTGTACATTATTATAATAAATAAAACTATCGGCAGTCCCTGGTACTCAAAGGTGTGGTTTATGAAAACCTGAAGTTAAGAAAAAATCTCCATGATTTTTGCCAAGTAATCGTGAAAATATGCCAAGATAGCTAGTGTTTTTTTTTTTTACCAACTACCGTAATATGATTATTTATTTCACTATTATTCTGTCAAAATGTTGTTATTGGTAAATCCACATACAGCTCCTCCCCGACTTACGACCTACTCGACTTACGTCCACCCGCACTTACGACCTGCCTCATTCGTACCAAAATTTGGTCAAATTACGTATTTTCGAGACCCAAAGTCGATACACAGGTTAAAATTTTCATCTGTAATTCACTTTAAAATGGCTGGCAGGCTTAAAAGTGAGTGTTTTGTGGTGCTGTTATTTAAGCATTTCCGACTTACGACCATTTCGACTTACGACCTGGATGTCGGTCCCTAACCCCGTCGTAAGTCGGGGAGCAGCTGTATAAGCATTCAAAGTCTCCATATAACTCCCTGCACTCTTTAAACTCACTGGAGACAAGTAGACTCGTCTGCACCAGCATAGTCACTCGGCCATTTGCCCGATTATCTAATTTCTCGTAATTTACTTTTAATCTGCATTTTTTAATTTCACATGCTAATTATGTGCTGTACAATAAAGGTGTAGAGTTATAAGAGAAAGTGTGGGATTTGGAAGTGAACAAAAGTTTGGTGAAGTGGAAATAGTGCCGTCGACACCACGAGAGAGCATGGCAGCGCTCATGTCACTTAAACAACATAACAAGATTTTAGCATGATGTAATAACTCTCTCCTCCCTTTCCTAGTAACATACTGTACTGTATCCCTAATTACTGTAACACATTAACTTGGTCCATTATTCTTACTTGTAGAATATTTGATCCTCACATTAAATTTTGAATGATTAAGAATGCATTAAAAAAACTATATATTCCTTAGCCCATTTATTTTTATGACTTGAGTATACCGTAGTGTTTTCTTTGGGACTAAGATAAAGTATTGCACAGGATAGAAACAAATCAAAACTTCCCTTGCCCCCCTCAGTAGCTTTTTTTCTGCTGCTGCTGCTGCTATTATCTAAAGGGAAACATATCTAGGATGTTTGCTTGTATGTGAGGGGGGGGGGGGATACTGTATGTGAGGGAGAGAATGTGATAAATTCTACTGGTACTTACTGTCTTCACACAGGCCAGGCATAGACATGGCTTCCCTAGGTGTTAGCAAGAAGTGGGACACAGCCACTAGATGTAGTAAGACATGTGTTGAGTCAGGTTTTTTTTATATACGTATATACTAAATATAGCTACTATATAGTTTTTATCCATCAGCCTTTTTGTTAAAATTTAACAAGTGGAGCGTGTGTGTTGTAATTAGTTTGTTTTATTATAAAATTTTTTTGGATTTCAGCCACATAGAAACCTCAAAAATTTCTTGGGCTTGTAAAGATCATTGTGTGTGTACACACACACGGGGTCCAGCTTACACTTGTATGGCTGCAACTGCTTCACATTTTTGTGTTCGGTTACTTCATAGTTTTATTTCGCTCCCACAATATCTGTGTATGGAAAGGGACTCAGGGCAACCTTTCTAGGATGTGTTGCATGTTTTGTAGTGTCTGATGTTACAAAAGTTTTGAAGGTAGTGTGTGTTGGTATGGTGAGATAAGTTACTACTACTACTCCTGTATTATAAACTCACTCTCTCTCTCTCTCTCAAGCCAGGTGCCTTTCAGGATACTGTATATTGCTTGCTAAAACAAGGGGGGGGATAGTATAATACTGTATATGCTGTACAGTACTGCATGAGCCCAAGAGTTCATGTAAATGCCTCCTGTTAGTCATACAGGGTAATGACCATGTTTGGAGATTAATTTGTTAACTAATGATTGTAAGGGATGAAGCAATTCTAGAGGTCACAGAACTCATCACCAGAGACTTTAAGCTCAAATCTTGTTGTCTGGGACATCCCAGAAGTTTACAAGCTTCATTTTGGATTCTATGATATAACTTGTTTTCTCTAGTCTATACAGGTATCAAGGTAAAGGTTATTGTTGGGGTAATGAGAGATCCCCTGGGGTTTATTGATGGTGAAATAGATTCCTCTTATTTCCCCTATTTCAATTTGTG